GCAGATTGTCTGTACCTCACCTTGGTGTTGGGCTTCTAGACCCTACTTGTGTCCCTCAATGTATGTTACTGCAACTTTAAAGGTGGTAGCGGCAATAGCCAAGGTAACTTGAGATAATTGTGGAGGTGCCCCAAGATTGATGCAATGTCTTACAGAGATTGATCTGGAAGGGTGGGCCTTACAGTGTCTTTGGGATGCCTGTTCTGAGATGCAGCTGCTTCTAGGTCCTGCCTATTGTCAAAAAGGTAGGGGCTACTATGTGGGGTAGGTATGGCAATGACTGCCGTGTCCCAAGATGGAAGTGTGTTAGGCTTGGGCTCCCAGGTTGGGAGGGGACGAACTCGGAGCAACTCTGGACCTGGATTGTGCAGAAGTTGGTGAGGGCAGATCTGGTCAGGACCTTACCTCCTGGGGTAGTCTGCTGATCTGAATGGGTGGTCCTGTGCCAGAGGCTGGGCTCCTGTGGGTGCCTGCAGTTGCAGGATGGACCCGGGCCTACTCTGAGCCTTGGTCCTATGCAGGCTGGTGTGGGTGGATCTGGGCCAGGCCTCTCTGTTACATATTTTTACAGAAAAATTCAAGAAACACAGAAGTGTATAAAGTAAAAAGTAGAAGTCTTTATCACTTTCCTTTATTCATCACCCAATCCTATTAGTATCATGCTATGTGTTCTTTCAGAAGCAGTTTGTTCTTTCTCTTCTTATTAAACAAAAAACCAAAGAAAAATTCACTATAATTAAAAATTTCTTTTATTTTCTTTAAAAGACCAAAGGCTGGACTTATCATACCTGTATGCTCTACATGTATGTGCATACATACATAAAACTAACTGTTTGTCCCGTAATTGCGGTACATACAGGCTAATTACAGAAGAAATTGCTGTAATTTTTCTTTCCCATTAACAATTTAAAATATATTGCAGGAATCATGTTTGATCCTCTGTATTTAGCCCTTAGATTTTTAATTGTTTTGTGTTCATATATTGATTCTTTCTGAATAAATTCTTGGTGTAAGTATCCTTTTGATTAGTGTGGAAATAGTGGTTATAATGAAGTTATGTTTTTTTAGGTTGTTGAATATGTGTTTGTGTCCTCTCCGCTAGGATTCTCAGTGTAGGTAAGATAGCTTCCTGGACTAGCTTCCCAAGAATCTCACAGGCCTCTTTCACACTGACAAAGATTAGGGTTGTGGGGAATGATTGAAGCTACAAATGAGCCTGTGATATCTATTTTTCACATATGCTCATGGCTAACTTTATAGGGATCTATCTCTTAATGTTCCTTATTTACAAAATGAGAAAGATAATGATAATCTACTTCAGGGAGCATTGTTGAGCATTAACTAATATAATATGTTTATTATATACTAATATATTTAGAGATATTTTGCACTGCTATTTCTATTACTCACTGATGCTATTGCTGACTTGATTTCCTTAGTTGTATTTATACATCCATCCTTCATAGTAATAATGCTATAAGCCTAATAGTTTCCACTAGTATCTGAGGCTAGTGTGGCTTAGCAATGTGCCAGGCCATTTAGGGTCCAGTCTTTGTCTCTACCTTTTCTCTGACTGACATCATTATTTTTTGTTTTTATTTCCTACTCCTTCAATTGGCAAAATATCATTTAGTTATCCTGATGACAAGAATATTATTTAATATGTATTAAACTCTAGAGTCTCTGATTTTTTTTTTTTTGTGAAAGCTGTGCTGATAGAATAACATAGCATAAATTTTGGGGGGTAGAAAGTAACAAGGCAGCCTACATTGTAGTCTTTATATTACTTGAGGGACATAGAATTGGATCATGGGAAGTTAGTTTGAATGTGCCTCAACTTCTGGGTCCAAGAGTCTTATTATGTTAACTATTTCCTGAAGCACACTTATTTCAGCTATGGGCACAAGAAGATTTATTTGGTTATAATTTTATACTGTCTCAGTATGATATTTTTTAATCTGAGAACATTTCCTTTTTCTTCTCCTGACACATCCATTTCTGTCATTTTGCCTCTGTTATTAAGTTACTGACTTTTTCCCCCACGTGGTATCAGGTATGGTTTAGGGAAGACTAATACAGACTAATCCAGAGAGGACTGACTATATGATAGATCTTTATCTCTTAAGGGTCTATTTTACCTTTCTTTGAAGTTTGTAGTTATATTCAGAATGATGAAGATATTCAGTAGAAGTCATGATGATTCCTGAATATTTGAGGACTTACTATGTTCAAAAAGTTTGTTGCAACCATAGTTGAGTGTCAAGGGTTAGTAGGCTAGTATTGAATTACAACAATGAGCAAGAATGTTAAAGCCCAAGAATGAAGGGTTTTGTCAGTCGAATGAAAGGGTTAAGTCTTCATCCCATGGTAGTACCAATACTAGTAGTAGTAGTAGTAATAGTAGTAGTCAGTAGTAGTAGAAATAGTAATACAAGTATTTATAGAAGTTGTAGGAATAATAGAGATTATGATAATGAAATTTTAAAAAATTATTGAGCCCTCTTTGGGTTCTAGACACTGTTATTTTTCCAGATTATTTTAATCTTCATAGTAATCCTAGAAAACAGGAATTGTTACTATCTTGACTTTACAGATGAAGACTCTGAAACAGATTAAGTAACTTATTCAAAACTCACAGTTTATAGAGTCAGATTTCTATTGTGTAGTATTCATTACAATTGTTGAACAAACACAACTAATAATATTTATGTAGGTTTTGTGTTAAGAAGTCAGAATTCAGCCAGATATGATTCTGAAGCTGAATTATTAGGTGTTACTAAATTAAAAAATAAAAGGATGCAAGTAGAAAAGAATTCCAGAAAATGAAGCTATATTAAGAAGAAATTAAATAGATGTTTTTGGGTTATATTGATTTTTAAATGAGAACCATAGCAGAACAGTACATAGTAAATGGATAACAAATTTCAATTATTATAATAATGGTTTGATAGTTAGAAGAAAAAACAATAGTGGCTCTAGTCTTTGTTTCCATGCTTTACAGAAAAATACACAAATGTCCATATGTATATAACATTCTGTACCTCATATTTTCTTGGGGGAAGAACTTCAGATAAACAAATAAATGGAATAGGGATATAACTGAAATTTTCCTCTTGTTATAACTTCACTATTCTATGATCTGTGCTATATTTGCAATTAATAAGAAATACTATGTCTTGACTTTTTTCCAGTGAATACAATGAATGACTTTTATGAAAAGAAAATGACTAGGCAAGTTAGAAAACTGTTATAAGCAAGTGTTCTCACAAAGTTGCTGAAATAGAAAAAAACAAAAATAGCTCTTTTTCTGAAACTTTATCTGATAGAAATAATTATTTTATTTTGGAGCAGTTTGGTCCGGTATTCATTTTGGAAGGGAAATTTTAAATTGACTATCTCCAAAGACATGAGAAATTCCTGTTGTGCGTTTTTGTTTATTTATTACGGGATTTTATAAGATACATGGGGTTATTAAGTTATGTTTCAGGGTTATTTTAGTATGTATAGAAGTATGTGTATATATATATATATAAAACTTTTATTTCTTTTGAAAATGCTATTGTTTCTCTTTCTAGGTTACCTTGTTTGGTAAAACAGTATTAATAATGAAGTCATCTCTGAAGTAGTTTCTTATGTATATCCATATGGTAGGATGGATTTCTTTTAGGTCTGTTCAGAGAATTCCTATTTGGCTTGTTATTAGTAATTACAACCCTAGTCACTTTCTTCAGGTCTGTTTTATAGATAAGAGTTCCCTAGTTTAAACCTATGTTGTGTTCTTCCCTCAGTGTATTATCTTATATTTCTTTACATTAAATCTCACCTTAGACCTGTCCTTCCACATCCCCAGTTGTCCATATCCATCTGTGTACTTGATTGATCTTCTTTTCTTTTTTAGTCCATCCTAGTGTTGTATCATCTGCAAATTTGATCATACTCGAATTTACATTCTTCTTCAGCTCATTAATGCGTTTGGTAGACAGAGTGTATCTCTATCTTTGTCCCTGTGAGAATGTGCTGGTTTATACTGCTAGATATTCTTGTTTGTAACTATATTGATAATAAGTCATTGTTTCCATCCCATGATAGAATTCTTTATATACTATCTCTAGCTCTTGCTTTCTGGATGCTCCTACGTCAATTTTTTTTTCTTTTAAGATAACAGATAAAGATCATTATGTTGTATCATCTGTGCTATTGCTTACTTTAAAAAAGAAGAAGGAGGAGGAGGAGGAGGGGGAGGA